TCATTAGTAGATACAATAGCAGAGAGAGTAGTGAGTATAAGAACAGATACCACTATAAGGTTCATTGTTCCAGTCAGTCTTATAATGATTTGAATGTAGACTAGGTGTACTAGTTTATAGCTGGTAGTGAGTGAGTCTATTTTATAGTGTTAGTATCTCTTTGTTGTTAGTCTTTGTGTGATGTTTGCGCTCATAATAGATGAGTTATTACAATAGCCGGCTGGTGGGTAAGACTTATGTGAGTCCTTACTTGGCCTCTTAGTGCGGCTACATATGTCACTAGTAGTTATTGTTGTACAGCATTGTGAGAATTGGGTGTTCAGAAATTGCTTACTTTATTTGGGATATATTGAAATTAATTTTGTATTAATTTGTATGAATTGTTTGTGTGTATAATGATGATTATATACTAATAATTGTAATACCATATGCTACAGTTAAATTGGTGTTCTTACCACTGTGATGATAATCAGCATATCATCAAGGTCTTCCTTTATAATAACATTATCTCTTAACCCTGACCTTTTCACAAGCAATACAATAAGTGTGGCTACATATGTCCCTAGACTAGTTATTGTAAGAATTGGGTATTGATTCTGATTATAAGACATTTGTATGTTAAAATTAAGATCAAAGACTTGTATGTTAATTGCATTTACATTTCAAATTTTGTTAAGTTTAATATCATGACAGTACAATTAGTAGTACATGTATGTAGTGTTTGTTAGTACCTTTGTGATGACAGTCAGTCAGATGATCATCATCAAAGCCTTCCATTATTACATTACTTTTTTTCGTCGCATTTATTTAAAAGTTTTCACTTTTTTAGTAGCTGTGGATGTAATGAACTCGTGGTGATTCACAGACAATTATGTGAATGGTATAGTTGACACTATTTTTGTCTATTGTTTAATGTTTATAAAATAAACAACTTTTTGCGGGGGTGTCAACTCAAAATGGCAGCAGAGTTGCTGAAGGAAGAAACGAGGGAAGAAGTCCCTGTTGCTGTGATTGGCGGTGGTATAGTTGGTCCAGTAATGGCATACATACTAGGAGAGCATGGTATTAGAGTTCATTTATATGAGGCGAGAGGCAAGAGTCTTGATGGAAGCCAAGGCAGAGCTATAAACCTTTCCCTCTCCAGCCGTGGGATGGATGCACTTGTACGTATTGGCATCTCCGAGGAAGTTCTGAAAGAGACAACTCCGTTCTATGGTAGATGCATACACTTGCCTAATAGCGGGGGTAAGACCAAATTGCAGTATTACAGTGTAAAGAAAGAAGCAGTGCATTCTATGAATAGGAGGCGACTGAGTGAGTTGCTGTTGAAAAAGTTAGAAGAGAATCCCAATGTTAAAATATACTATGAGCATAAATTGATGAATATTGAGCATCAAAATAATACGCTGCACTTTAATGTAAAGAGAGCAGGAGAAGAAAAGGAGAGCAGCTATAAAATATCGATAAAAGCCAAATTTATAATTGGCTGTGATGGCTTCAACTCTTCTGTACGTAAAAGTGTACTAGGATCAATTTTGCATTATCAGCAGGACATACTGGACGAGGTCTATCACGAGCTGTATCTTCCACCCACACAAAATGGAGAGTCTGCCCTACAGCACTCTGATATGTTCCATATATGGCCGTTAGGTGAAGTTATGTTGGTTGGTGTACCTAATAAAGGGAACAGTTTCAATATCATATTGTTTATTCCCCTCTCCGTCTCTAAAAGCATCAAAACACCTAGCGATGTTTTAAAGTTTTTCAAAAAATATTTTCCCGACCTGCTGGAAAAAATTCCAAATGAAAATCAACTAATTAAAGATTTTTTTCGTAAAACCCCAAGCAGACTTAACACAATAAAGTGTTATCCTTATCACTATGGTAACATTCTTTTGCTAGGTGATGCTGCTCACTCTGTTCTCCCTTTTTATGGGCAAGGTATGAATGCTGGGCTAGAGGACTGTCTGATATTTGAAGAGTGTCTTCAAGAGAAAGATGGAGACTTGGAAACAGCAGCTGAGCTATTCACCGATAGACGTTGGAAGGATCTGCACACACTAGCCGACCAGTCGTTGCATAATTTTACTACTTTAAGAAAAGGTGTTAATTCTAATCGTTTTTGGATTAATATTAAATTAGAATCGCTGTTGTCAGTATTACTACCTAATGTATTTAAGCAAATATATCCAATGGTAGTTTTCTCAAGAGGAAGATATTCAGAGATACATGAAAGAGAAAAATGGCAAAAGAAATTAGTAAACATGATAGCAATTATTATCATTATTATGAGCATGTTAATTATTAGTTTAATATTGTCTTTTGTGATCTAATATTGACTTTTGTTTTTCTTATTTTTGTTTCCAGTATATGACATCAAAAATTTCAATTTTAAGACTAAAATTAAATTAATAGCCACACCCCTTGTAAAGATGGCTGCAGCTTTATCTCCTCCACCTCCTCCTTCCAGCGACTTGTGTTTCAATCCTAATGTGTTTATATCAGAGACTTACAGTGTGGATGAGTTTGTTAGTGAGTGCAGGCGTCACGTTACAGTTGAGCACTTACACGAAGACCTGAGGTCTTATTATCAAACACTAAAGACTGCCATGATTGAATTAATTAACAAAGATTATTCTGACTTCCTTGACCTTTCTTCTAACTTGGTGAGTCTCATCATCATCAACATTATTATTATTATTTATCATTATTATTATTATTATTAATAAAATTATTATTGTTGTGCTGTAGGTGGGAATGGATAAAGAAATTGAAAGATTGACTGTACCTCTTTCACAATTGCGTCAAGAAATTTTGGTAATTTACACTATATTCATTAATTTTCATTTCAAAAATTATTGTTATTCACAAATTTGATTTTGATTCATTTGTGAGCTGTTACTAATATATAATTTTTATTAGAGTATCAAGTCATCAATGGACTCTGTTATCAAAGAGCTAGACATCAAGATGGCTGCCAGATCAAAACTACAAGAGAAGAAAGTGAGTGCAATGTTACCTCCTTGCTCCTTAGAATGAAATAATGCTCAGTAAATGTTGGGTCTACAATAATTGAGAGGAAAAAAATTCTTCATTAATTTTTATTTCATTTTCTGATGTGTAGTCTTTTTGATGAATTAAAGTAAGATATTTTATAAATTTTAATGTTGCTCCAAAAGCAATATTATGCTATTACATGAGGCTTGTTAGCTTATGAAGCATGCTTTTTAGTTCACCTAGCATGCTTTGTTGGAAACCATGCTTTGGTTGAGCTACATGCAGAGTACACAAAGAATCTGTTGCAAATACATGTATGTCTTAAGAAATGCTTTTCAACAATCTACCAACCAACACTATTTTCTTCTCATCTCCATCGACTTTTACTGTCCAAAATTAATTAAACAAGTAAATAAAAAACATTAAAAATGGAAAAGTAGTAGGATTTAATTGGGAAAAAGTAAAGAAACAAGAAGGTGGTACTTGCAAACTGGTGTGATAAGAAATCCTACACCACTGCAAAAAGAATATTACCCAAAAAGCATAGTAACTTCATTACTCACACAGCCTGGGCTACTGACATGATAACTATGAAGCATGATG